AGAAGAAGTTTTAACTATGAAGTATTTTGAAGAAGACATAAAAGATCAAATTTTAGACCTAGAACTTCCAATTAAGGCTTACTTCAAAAATCATAGATGTATACTTCAAATTATTCATGAATATGAATCCCAACAAGAGAAAATGTTCATAAATGCAACCCTTGATAATCCAAATATAAATTCTAATCCTACCCTAAAACCAGTGCTCCAACAAAACCCGAAATTGAGGAAAATTCGAAGAGCATCTTGAGTCTTTGGATCTAGAATATATTAGTTAGGAGGAAGATAGCCCAAACCTCAAGCATCACTTAAGTATGGAGAGGAAATAGAGAAAGGATACAATTTGCGAAAAGAATGGAAATAAACTTAAACCGGTTATTTGCTGTAAAACAACAAGGAACTATTTTAGAATTATCAAGTTAGAATCCACAACTTTGTGCTGAAACAATAGACCAATGAGAAAGAGATGCTTGTCAAGCATGGATTAATAGATCTATGGATAATGAGATGTTTGAATTCCTAGAAACACTACTAGATTCAACTTTAAAATTATATTGGAACACCTTTAACAAAGAAAACCCAACTTTAGTTGTTGAAACAAAAGATTAGGGAGAAATCCCGTATAATTTTACTACTTTAATTAAAAGAATATTTTTAGGATATGATATAACTATTGATTCCGAAAGAGTTTTACAAAATAAAGTTATTGAGGAACTTAAAGTCCTTCAATTAATATCATGGTATCAAATTGAATTATGTTGCAATAATTTTTTCAAACTTGTGACTAGAACAAGCAAAGGATTTGATGATAACTTAAATAATAGAATTTTTGATAAGTTAGCAAGCACCTTAAGTAAACAAATTAAAAAAAAAAAGTGTGCTTTTAGATTAATTTTTATATTCAATAATTTAATAGTACATTTTTTATATAAATTTAATATATTTAAAGAAATTAACTTTTTAAAATTTTAATTTTAAAACTTAAATTTTAAACTTATATTTTAAGATATTACTTTTTTTTTTGGTGAAATATTTTAAGATATTACTTAATTAGTTAATTTACCCATGCAGCTGGCCTGGTGTAACTTAGGCAGCATCTAAAAATTCCACACATGGGGCACTATAGTGGCATCATGTCAGTACAACTCAGATTTGTCCGATTAAATTCGACACTAGGATTGGTGAATCACCTCGAGCTATGAGACACTGATCTGAGATTGACAACATTTCTAGGTGGGTACAGGCTATGATCAAATTTTTTTTTTTTTTTCTTAACACGGAGAGGAGAATTCGAAGCACACATTTCAACTTATATAAAAATATTATTACGATAAAATAAATGATTATTAGGTGATCAAAATTTTTTTTATTATGATCATCTATTAAATTTATAATGG